AGTTAAATACGTTAAAAAGCTAAAGTTACTGTACATTACAAACATTTCTTGATTTTGAGGTCAGCTGGAAACGATTGTGGCATTTGGGTGATTTTATATTGAGTGACACAAAAACAGTGTCTCAGCTACTGAATATATTTTTGGTCGAAAGATTTCAGGATTGAGAACTTTTCATTTTCTCTTTTTTCTCTTTGCAATCGGTGTGCAGGAGAAAGTGACTGAGCCAAACCAAATGTGATTGCTAAACAAAACAGCTCATCCACACTGATGGTTTTTCATTCGTCATGTCAAATGTCAAGCTTTCATACTGCACTGTGCAGCACCCTTTCTCTTCAGCAGTTTAGCCTCCAGTGACCAGACGACTTCACAGATGTGCTCAGCTGTATTCAGCCTTGTTAAGTATGGGTGGAAGCTCAGAGTGTATAAATGTCTAACTCAGTCACAGGAATCAGTGCATCCTTTGGCCCTCTTTGTATAAAACTCAAATGAAAGTATTTAACAAATGAAGCTTGTGAGACGACATGTATTTGAGTAATGTTTGGCACTAAATGAGAAAGGCCGTGTTTGTTAATACAATCAAACACGCCGGTATTTAAAGTGACAGTCGCTCATTTTCTGTATAAACCAGCGTCCACACTTTGTAGCACGATGCAGATGTATTATTATTACTGTTATTATCGCTGCTTTTGTCTCCCCACAAACGTGACTATGCTCACACGAACATGTCGTACCTTTCTCCTCCTCACTCAGGCCGTCGTCGGGTTCAGGCTGAACACTGAAGTTGTCTAACTTGTCCGAGAGATCTTGTCGCTTAATTTCTTTGAGAAGCTTTGAAAGAAAGGCCGTGTCATCCTCCGACAGTTTGCCTCTTTCCCTGAAAAGCTGGAAGAGTTCCCGACCGCTGCCGATCTTTTCCAGATTTCTTTTCCCGATCTCTTGTTGAACCAGGAACTTCATGTCGTTCAGCTGATCAGCAGACATGGCGTTAGAGATCTCCAACAAGACGCTGTTAAACTGTAAAGCGCTCATGTTGACAGGTCGAGCACAAACACAGCAGCCTCCGAGCGGCTGACTTTTACTTTCATTTCGGTGACTTACGTCTATCCGGCGCGTCTGTCGTTCAACTTCCGCTTACCAATAACCAATGGAAACACGGCACACGTACAACACCGAGGAG